ACCTTCATTGTGCCTGGAAGCTACAGTCCTCAGGAAAGATCAAAAGAATGAATGAGACCCTAAAGAAACATCTTCACAAAATGGCTCAGGAAACCCACCGATATTGGTCCTGTTTACTACCTTTGGCTCTTATTAAAGTAAGAAAGACTCCAACATAGAAGACCTTGTCCTTGGGAGATGCTTTATGGGCATTATTTTGTCACTATTTTCTCTTCAATTAAAAAAAATACTTTGATCAAAAAAATATTGCATCACTGGCTAAATTCCAATACTCTCTCCAAAAGCAAAAGGAAGCCTGACCTAGAGAAAAAGGAAATCCCATATTCCACCTCAGCGTTCTGGTGCTGTTAACATCTCTTTCTTCATCATCTCCTTCCCTGAGACAACTTGGAAAGAACCCTACACCCTAATACTGTCTACCTCCTCAACTGTTGAGGTAGCTGGTCTCAGCTCTTGAATACACTGTATCTGTTTCAAGCTTTGGGACCCGGAAACTGTTTCTTAGTGTGAGCAACCACGTGAATACTTCTGTGAACCCACAGAAGAATTAAAGTTCTTGCTCAAAAAGAAAGTAACACCTTCAGGTAAGTAATCTAAATTGGCAGCCATAATCTTTTATTAATAGCTTTTATACCACTAGAGGGCCTAAAGTACAGTTCATTTTTAATGTGGACCCAGAAATACATGGAATCATTACAACAAACATCTTGTTGAATTTGGCCTATTCCTCTTGTCAAGTGCCTTAGGGTTGCCTTGGTGGGGATCCCCATTTCAAGGACATGACTGAATAAATTACAAGATTACATTGATGAGACACGAGATAATGCTGGAGTTCATAATTTAGCCCTTCATCACAATGTTGATAAGTGGTCTATAAAATCTAGTCTTTGTGACCTGAGACATATTTGGATTATTTCCAAAAGGACACTAAAGCTCTCTACAGACTGTAACCCCTATTACCTAAATAAAGAGTCTCATATCATAAGATATCAAAACAACTACTTTCGGATATACAATAAATATATACAGTTGACTTGTTATAGAACGCCTTAATTATGTTGGAAACAGACAAACAAAAATATTGCTACCATCATTGACCTAACTCTACTGAATATCTGAGGTGGACCTTCTGATAAGAGTATAAATATTGTAACTCTACAAGCCAAAGAGTTGTTTACAGCAGACTGATTTAATCACCCTGGGATTAGATGAGGAGCCCCTGGTGATACTTTTTATTCCTTAAAAGTCAATGTGCAGCTTTGGTTACCCTCTAGGTAGATAAGGAGACACACTCTGAGATTTGCATGAATACAAGCAGAGGGTCAAAAGCAATGATCGACCCCAGCTACAATAGCAGTTTCTAAGGATATATTTTTCACTAGTATAATTACTTGGCTGCTATTTTTGTCCTTTACATGGGATTAAAAGATGGTATGCATCACATCCAGGTGTTGACTAACTATACTCAGTGGGCCTTAAACGACATTTAACGTTGACCTCGCTATTAAATGAAGAAGTTGAGTTAAAGATGCATGCTATCCTAGGTAGACTTAATAGCAGTGCAAGGGAAAACCTGTGCATTATAAAAGTTGAATATAGACTATGCATTCCTGATCTTTCTGTTAACATTTCAATGGCCAGTTATGATGTTAGACAACAGGTTAATGTGATACCAGATCCCAAAGATTCCTATACCTTCTTTTTACCTTCTCTATTGGAAGCCATCACTGACTCTTCTGGTAGAAATATTTGTTGACCATATTAATAATGGTCTTATTGATCTCATTATTTGAAGCACACATATTTGGACTGTTTGGTTTTCTGTCATCCAGACTTAAGCCTATATACCTACTCAAGATGTGGGTTCCTGACATCTATCAAAGGCCCCTGGATATACTCTCTGAGGAATACTTCTGGATGCTGGTCATGACTAGAACTCCTTTTAGCTAAACATAGCCAGAGGGAACTTTATCCATTGTTCTCTATTAGCAGTTAGGAATACCTCTTTAGAGGGAGAAATATTACAGACAGCTAAGTTAGACAGGAATTAGTAGACATTCAGAGAGAGATCAGATCCTGAAGGAAGTCAGTGCAGAAGATATGAAAACTGTGGTGAGATACAAATTTAAAGAAAACCAATCTTCAAAATAGAGGTGATGGCTTCCTTAGCGATAAATAGTACTTGAAATGATACTGTGAACGGCACCCCCTAGTTTTGTGAGCCTACATAATGCAACAAACACGGATGGGTATCTAGACAAGATGACCCATACTCATTCTTTTCCAAGCATGCCTTTATTTTTTTCTACTTTGAAAGTCACATATAAGCTAAAGCTAATGATGCTTACTAATATACTTTTACTACATGCCCAACTTCCCTACTGCATCAATATTAGTTAAGCAACTATACTTGTTATCTTATAGTCTGGTTGTAGTTTGACCCATAGCTACTCAAGTTGTTATTCTGTTATATTTATCTTGGACATTTGTGTACACAATGTGTCAACAACAATCTGCTTTTGAGACACCACTTTTCTCAAGAACTTTTTCTCAAGAAATCTTTCTTACCCTTGATGTGCTCCATCCTTGAGTCCATTCTCCAGTATCAGGAAATGCAAACCTGTCCCTTTTGGCATCTTAACACATTGAAAGTTATGAATTTGTGATAGTGACTTACATACATACTCTTTAGGAAGGGTTAAGGAAACATTAATTAATCAACTTTGTTAGTAGTTATAAAAAGCAGCACAGAAGACACTGAGTTAAAAACTAACAGCTTAAAGAAGTGTTTGAAAAGGAGGTGTAATAAGAGAAATTGTGGGGAAACATTCAAGGAAGAAACATATGACAAAGATCTGGAAGCTTTATAAAAAATTACTCATTTAATATATACTTGCTTAGTGACTGTTCAGATTTAAGACAGTCATGCTGTTCAGACTTGCAACCTACCACTTTGACCTACAACCCGAATTATTTTTGTACATTTCTGCATATTCTTGTTTATAGAGTCTCTATGTTATTTTTTCACAGTAAATTTTACAGTACTGTACTTTTGCTGATTATATTGTATAGTATAGTGCTGTACTTTTATGTTCTGTTATGTAGTACAGTGTTGAATGTAAGTTATTCTAAAAAAAAATAAAGCAAACATCAGGTAGGAGTTTTCTTTGACCATTTCCAAGACTCTACACCATTCTTTACTGATTATTATACAGTGATTAAAAAAAAGCTTATGGAAAAACTAAAATAAACACTTTGCCTTGAACTATTTGCATGATATTGATATAGGGGAATGAATCTCCCAACTTACTAGACATTCCGTAAGAGTTCATGTTCTCTAAAACCAAAGAATGAATTTTAGGAACAATGGAGATGAAGAGCAGAAATATTGAGAGAAAGAAAGATTCTGTCTGAGAGAGAAACAGAAGGGATTGGGGAAGGGTTGCCAAAGACTGTCTTTTCTAGTTAGAGACTTTTATAAAGTAAAACCGTGAGGCGAGACAGGTCCAAGGTGGGGAAAAATGGGAACTCACAAGGTGGGCATGAGGTGGGACAGAACTATGGTTAACCAATAAGAGTAATTACTCAGATGAAATTGATTAAAGCAGGAACAATTAGGGAAGCAAGTCACATAGTAAGTGGCCATGCTTAACAGCAGTGACTCTTTGTGTGGGAGTGGGGGGCTGGGATGATGACTCTTGACTTCTTTAGGGTGATAGAGAGCTATTTAGACTGTCAGTCCTTAGGATGTGGGTGTATTTGCTTTGTCTTGAGATCTGACCCACAGCAGGAGGTGTTTGTCTCCTCTAAGGTTGCAAGGTATCTGAACTTCTGCACTGGCTCCTTTGAGGACTCAACCATGTCTGACTACCTATATGATATTTCTAACTCACACAGTTGCCTGTAACAATACTTTATAATTTCATGAACCAAAAGCCAAGTTGTCCTTCTTTCTTCCATAATCTCATTTGTGTGTGCATATTTGTGTGGCATTGTTGAGGCAGATTCTGTTATTTAGATCTTTATTCTTTCTTTTTGACATGTCTGAACTCTCCTAATCTGAGTTTCTTTCTGGCATTGCTGCTGGAGGATTTGAAAGTTCCCCTTTCATATTTTAGGCATTAGTCAACTAATTGAACTATTGATTCATGTTTCCTGAACATTAGACTGGTGTAACATTAAAGTGAATTATAGCAATGTCTCTGCTCAAGAAGAGAGAGTAAATTCACCAGACTCCTCCATTTTTAATAATTCTATTCAGGCTTTCACTGGATGACTGATGCTCAGCCCTGCCAGTGAGTCATCTCCTTTACTAGTCCACCTATTCAGATGCTAATTTTCTCTGGAAACACCCTGACAGGCACCCACAAGAACTTGCCCTACAAGCTACCAGGCATCCTTTTAGCCCAGTAAAGTTGAACCATAAAATTAACCACCGTACTCTATAATCCTGTAAACCACAGAAAGTTTCCTGAAGTAGTTGTACTGAACTTCCTAGTACTTTGGCCCATTAAAATGTTCTAGCTTAATAAATGATGGAATTTGGAGAAATGTTCATAGCTTTTTTTTTTTTTTCTTACTTTGTGTACCACAATCAGGTATTTGTTGTCTAGTTATAACCTGTGCTAATGGCATTTTAATTTGGATTCTGACTAAATATCAACCAATCTTTTTATTAAAAACATCTTATAAAATGTAACTAGTGTATCACAGAATTTTACGTCATGACTTATTCATTGAACTATTTTACCTTGACTATGATTTACGTCTCAGTAATAAAATTATTTTTGGTGTTGATGGATGGCATCACAGGATGAATAAATGCCATACTTATGAACATTTAATTGCAAGAAAAGAATAAATGCACAATCTGAGGAATTATGACTTATGCCTCAGCGTCTGCTTAGTTGCAAAACAAGTTACTATTGATGTTGTAATATGTGAATTGAAAATTAGTTTCATGTTGTTAAGATAGCTATATCATCTGAGAAGGTTCCCAGTCTACTTTTGATCTGCTGTTTATAATTCAACATTACGGAAAACTTTTAACTTCAGCACTGCGAAGAGACTGAAAAAAGGATATTATGGGTTTCAAAACTCTCTGTTTGGGGATACTGTGTGCATTCTTTTTATCTTATATTTATACACCCATACCTGACAACATTGAAGAAAGCTGGAAAGTAATGGCCTTGGATGCAATTGCAAAAACTTGTACATTTATGGTAAGACTAATATTTCTTTTTTAGATATTGTTATGCCATGTCAATTAAAATTCAATTCCTATGAGCTGTTAAAATTGATGAAGTACAAGTTATTGTCTTGTGAGAAATACAACTTATTTTTCAGAATAAATCAATCAAATAATATTAAGTATTAAAACCTATTGCATTTGTTAAAACAAGGTGAAATAGATTTCTTTTTTCTAGAGTTTCTAGAGTTTTCTAGGATCTACATGTGAAGTGTCTGTATACTGTTATATATATAAAAGAAGTGGAATTTTTGAAGGGAAATGTTTTGTGGTTTATCTGTTAATTTGACTTTCGCTTGTATATTTAAGGACCATGTAGTCCCATACTTATGTTATATAAATTAATATTTGTACCAGTTTGATATCTAGGTATTTCTATGGCTTGGGTTTTCCATCTTTAATTCTAAATTTGTGGATTTCAGAGAATGTCTGATTTGGAATATGCAGAATAGATTGAGTTCACAAAGAAGCTCCTTTATAGTTTGAAACTAACATTTTTGAGCTCTTAAAAATGTATGGATCTTCAGAACACATGCCTCTAATCATTCTCCAAAAATGTTTTTCAATTTACAGAAGACGAAGAAATATTCAGAAAAGTATATATAGGTACAAATTAACAACTCTAAAATTTCATCCCAGGACTGGTACACTTTCAAAATGTGTATTCCTTCTGGAGAGCTCCCAGAAATGCTCCTTGATAATAAAACAATTAGTGACTGAAAGTAGAAGGCAACAGCTGAGGCAGATGATCAGTAAAGAGAAAGTGATTCATGGAATACAGAGAGTCTCTCCCACAGTGCTCCGTGTAGCCCACTGTAGTTCTGTGAAGGCCCATCTGGCTCTGGCTAGTGTTTACTAAGTGCTAAAACCTTCCTTCTACACTCTTCTGGAGGTTATTTTCACCATAACTGTTTCTTTATTTGATTCCTTGATGTACAAGTGGAAGAATATGTTCATATGCAAGTGTCAGTTCTACAGATAAGCGTCTATATAATTGCTTTTGATCATTTCATATATTTTTGTAATTCACAGTGACCAATACTTATGTAATATGACAACTCTAAAACATTTACTTTTTCATATTCAAATTATTTTCATCACTGTCCATCTATAATAAAGTCATGCACTTTATGTATTTACTATTATCTTGAACCTTAGAGATAGTTCAGGTACAGTACTTGGCCAGCATCCATAAGGTCCTGGGTTCAGTTCCTAGCACCATATACAAACATCAAAATGAATGATGTAAATAGTTTTTCAAAAAAAATCTTTTGCTGTTTTAACAAAAACAATTTTACTCTTGCCAGGACTGAATTTTGTGACTCAAATTTATGTTACCAATAAAAATAATTGATATTTTAACAAATTAAGAGAAGCTAAAAATTAAAAGTCCTGATAAAATGACCTGTGAAGAGAAATGCAGTATTATGCAGTCATATGTTATAGAAGACCAATGTTTGTGGACGCATGGCCAATCTTTGAAAATTCCCTTAATACTTAATTGTATTTTTTTTAGCTTAAACATGGGGATACTAATTGTAAACTGTATGTTTATTAAAGATCATGTATAATAGAGGAGAACAAAATAATCTCTAAACTGGCATAATATATATCATATATCTCATAAACATATACTTACTCAAAACTAGAAAAAGCTGAGATGTGAGAAACAAGTTAATTTGCCAAAAATCTAATTTTAAAAAGTCATCAAATTTAATTTCAAAATTAATGAAGATATTAAACTTAATAACTTCTTAGAAACTTACTTTAAGAGGTGTTCTACTTAGAATATTCAAGAAAATACTAAAAAATATTATTATTAATGAAGAATTTAAAAATAATGCTAAAACAAGATTTACTGAATATTTAGCATGTGCCAGATATTCTTGTATGTGCCTTGAAAGTTTTCATTTAAATCCTATTATAGCTCACTAGGAGATTTATTATTGTTGTTGTTGTATTGTTATTGTTATCAGAGCTAAGAAAAAGAGTAATTTCCTCAATAGCCCCCAACTTGCAGTGAATGACATAAGAGACTGATTTAGAAAAATCGATGTAAACTTGGACTTTGAACTTTATTAGTTGCACCAAAATTTCTGAGTGCTTCTGTATTATTAAAACACAAAAGACAGATTAAAAAAACTTCTGTAAATGCCCTAAATTCTTTGGAAGAATTGCATTAATGTTAATATACTGTTGACTGTGTATCTTATAAGGCTTGTCCTTTGAGTAAGCTGTCTAGTGATTTGATAGACTGGTCCTAGAGAAGCTGGTCAGAAAAACCAAGGGCAGCTTTTGTCACTGACATCAAACCAAGGAATGGGTGCTGGTGGTGCTGATCCATTAGAGTATAAAACCAGGAGATTTAGAACACTGATGGTGTGTTAACATGAAGGTATTTAAAAATTTGGACTAAATAAAATAATTTAAAAAGAAAATATGACAACATGTTTACAGAAAACAGCAGAGGAGTTGTAAGATATAGAAAATACACAAATATAATATGAAGAAAAAAATTTCCAGTAAAGATCTTTTTGATAGGCTTTTAATCTAAAATACTGATTACCATAGTGTGTCAAATAAAGCAAAGTCACTCAATAAGATCTTCATAGCATTAGAAAGTTTGGTTCTTTTTGTTCATATTGTTTGTGCTTTCTTCCTCTTCTGTACTTTCTCTTTATATGTATTTGTTAATATTTAAAAATCCTAATGTGAAATTTTGTTTTGCTCTTACAGGGTATTTGTTTAGAAAATATAGGCATTATGAGATATGAAGAATTTATTTCCATGATATTTAGGATGGATTATACCCAACCTCTTTCAGATGAATACATCACAGTGATTGATACAGACTTTGGTGATATTCCAGTACGTTTATATTTGCCAAGAAACAAGTCAGAAAGCCTAAGACGAGCTATAATCTACATGCATGGTGGTGCTTTTTGCTTTGGAAGTTGCAGTAAGTTCATTATCTAAAGAAGAAGAATTACTAGGCATATATTTTTATGTATGATCAATTTTATGTAAACATATATGCAGAATTATTTACATAATCATAAATATAGCTATAGATTTAGATGTCTAATAGAGAAAAAGAATGACATGTCTGACAAATAGCATGAATTCTTTTTTATTCAGGTTTTGATATGTTTGTTTTGGTAAACATTTTATTTTAAGATTCCATATTGAATAAACATGTATCAAACATGGGCATGATCAAGTCATTTACTAAAACATTTTCCTTTAAGATAAAAAATATATATAAAAGCAGAAACTTTAAAGACGTGTAAACATTTTTAAATTACCAATCAGAACTACATGCTGCAAGATCATGTTTATAGGCACTGATAAGAAAATGTGAAGAGTAGTCAAGCTTGGAATGTAGGCAATCCTGCCTTGATTCTAAAAGGAAAGTGCAAGTTAGAAGTGTGAAATAATACAATTCCTATGTAGTCTATGCATCTACTTGTTTCTGGCGATGATTCTAAGAGACTCATATAAATGATTCAAAACAAAATTATGAATGAATTGATCTATGAAAATTTTAGACAGTTCTATCATAAAATACTACTAATATATGGTGAGCCTATTTTATATTAATATAAAATTGAATAAATGAGTAAAATTGAGGAATCAATTATGTATTTTTTCCTTTCTGGCATTCTCTGTCTCATTTGATACTAAATAGCTTGAGAATTTTATAAAACATATGCAAAATGGAAATCTACTTACCCAAATTTTAGCAATATACATTAGGAGATGAAAAACCAAGCATGGGAAATTAATGACACACAAAAAAACTTTATTTAACATATACAATGCTAAAATGGTTACGATACAATTTTGGCTTTTTAGTTTTCTTCTCCAAGCTTTCTGACAATTAATATAAAAATATAATTAGTTACATATTTTCTGGTGACTTGTCAGAAGGAAAATATTTATATGACAAATAATTAATAGAGATTAAATAATTTACACTGTAGACTATCACCAAGAAATATTTGAAGAGTATATAACAACCTCAACTGAAGGATTGTGTTTTGTTCTGTATTGTTTTAAACGTGTCCTGCAGCTTTGGCTTAGGCAGTTGTGCTGCAACCTTGAAAATTTAAGGTTGGGGATCAGTCTTTGTTTCTCATTCTTGCTTGGATTACTTGGTACAGTTCTGAAAATCATTAGAACAGTATTGCCTTGGGATAGCACGTGCTTTATCAATTATTGTAGTTCACAGAATAAAAAATGTAGCTAGCAATAGAAGATAAATTGCCTGGCAAATACAGAAGCCTATGGGGAAATAAGGTCCTTCCATTGTTTGTTTTATTCTCGTCACATTCTAAAAAATTTTTAAAAATTACAAAATTAGGGGGCTGGGGATTTAGCTCAGCGGCATAAGTGCCTGCTTGCAAGCAGGCGGTCGTGAGTTCGATCCCTGGTACCGATAAAAAAAAAAAAAAAAAGGACAAAAATATTACAAAATTAAATAATTTTTAAGTTGGGATGAGAAGTTTAGGTCATTCACCTAAAAGAAAAGCTTTTTGTTTTACGAGAAACATCTTAAAACTCATTCCCACAACGTATTGATTTTATGATAATCCTTATGAGTATAAGCTGGTAGAATGACACTAAGAAATATTTAATAAAAGCAATATAAGGAAAAAGTAACATTTTGTATTACAGTAAAAATTCTCTTTGGAAGATATAATTTAGAGGTGAATTTTGAACAAGAAAGCAGGTATTCTGTTTATATTTTATAGAATCTACGTACATATTTTTTCTATTCAAAGGTATTTGATAGAACCTGAGAAAGTGAATCCATACTAAAAGGAAGTGGCGTTTATTCCTCCCAAAAAGGTATAGAACAGTGCTTTTAGATGCTCAAAGTTCAGTGGTTCAGTGTGTTAGCCACAGGGCTCATTAGAAAGACCATTGGACTTTATCTATATAGTTATGTATCTTTTGTGTTTCTCATGTAAGAGAGTCATAAAAATTACAAAATAGGAAAGAGATAAACACAAAGTAATGAGAAGTTCAAATATGAATATGATACTTATCCAATTGCATATTCCATTATTTTGAATATCCTTTAATATATAAGTTAATCTGTTTCATTTGTAGTACTAGTTTATCTAACATTGAAAAGAATGTTTTTGTGTTATGTGTTTGGTTTTGTTTTGTAAGAAAATTTCAGGTAAGTGTCTTGTACTCTGAGTACTTTGAAGATAATGATGCATGTGTATTAACTATTGTTATTCTTGTCTTGTCATAATTTTTAATTAAAAATAATCCCTGAGCTCCATTTGCAGGATTGTTGGTTCAGTAAATCATTGGTAAGGCCTAAAAATTTTGCACTTTCAATTAAACCCCAGGTATGGGTGATTCTAATAGTACGTGCACTACACTGCTCTAGATTCTCTTCCTGGTAATCAGTGTCCCTGATATGGTTCAAAAACCTTGGAATGTGTGTTTTGTCAATTTAATCTCTCTTTCCCATCAATGACTATTAATCTGCATCAGTCCCGGTCACCTAGCCTTTTCAAATCTGAAATAATAACAATATTTTAGAGGAAATGGAAAACTTCAGGAATTTTATGTCTTCATATTTATTTTTTTGAGATGATATCTTACTATGTAACCCAGGCTGTTCTTCAAAATCACAGCAATCCTCCTGCCTCAGTCTCCTAAGTGCTGGTGATGTAGGGATTATATAGGACTGCAAACTTATCCAAATAATATAATGGAAGTATTTTAACTTCCATCCTTCTGGCCTGCTTGATGGTTAATATCCAAGTCCGCGTTCTCCAAAATTGAAGAATAAATTGTAGGCATAACAGAGAGAAAAAAAGCTTCTGTCTAAGAATTACAAAAGGGGTGCCAAGGGACTTTAAATTGCAAAACCAGGTGAGGTGCTCTGAGGTGGGACAGAACTATAACCATTTAATAAGCACAGAGGTACAGTTGCTTAGGTAAAGTTGATCCCATGGAAATCACAAGGTGGTATGAGGTGAAAGAGTACTATGATCTCTTGTCATTTTCCTTTCTTAGGCTTACTGCAGTCCATCTGTTCCAGTCCTTCTCAATTTCCTTGGATTTCAACCTTCGATTAATTCTCCAAGCTTTACTTTCTATTCTGTGAGATAGTAAATGCTCACTCTTCTTCTTCAACTCACTACTGCTGTCTTTATTTTCTATAATTTTTTAGATTTCCTTCTGCCATTTATTATTTTTTCAGTCTCTCCTCCATTTGAAAACAAACAGAAGGATATATTTTCACATTCATAAATTTCCTAAGTATTCTTGTCATACCTCCAGGATTTCTGTTTTTGTCTCTGCATATTTAACTTTCCAATACGCTTTTTTCCCAATGATTCTTCTAATATCCATTCTTCTAGGCTTCTAACATCCATTTATGCATCCATGTTTACGATGATCAACTACATATTTACCTCTGGACAATCCAGACTCTTTCAGCTAATGCTGTAAAACCCAAATTGATTTATGGTGTCTAAACAGCCCAAGAAACCAAACATACTTCTAAATCAACATCCCAAGCACTTGAAGTCTCTCAATAAATAGTAATAATGTAATATATTTTAATGTTCCCTCCATCCCACATTCTATTGCCATATTTCCTTCATTGACATCTTACATTTTAATTCATTTGCATGATCTTGTACCTCACATTGTTTCTGAGCTACTCTTTGTTAATAACACTGTTCTACTTTTTTTCTGTGCAACTTGATCTTACCTATATTTAATGATGACTGTTTCTAACATGAATTCTGACTATATGATTTATGTGTTCTAATTTCTTCAATGACTCATTGCTTAATGAAATATTAAATTCTTACCCTTCCTGACTCCCACATTTAACTTTCCTGTCCTTTGTCAATGACCATTCCCAGAATTTTGTTTCAGTTACACCGACTGCTTTCTATTCTCCGAACACTCATTCTCATTTTCCTTGTGGAGTATGCTTTTTCTAGCGTGACTTCCCAGTTTACCTCAAGGGAACTACTCACTCTATCAGTTGAAATATTATCTTTCTGAATTGTGTGTGTATGCATGTGTGCATATATGCGCGTGTGTGTGTTTGCTCTGGCTTTGCTGTTTGAAAATTTCAACTTTTTTTAAATGAAAAAGAATAAAAACAATGACACAGAATTTTAAAACAAAATAATAAATTAACAATGGTTAATATATTGTTATCTTCAAAGTAGTTTTTCAGATTACGAGTTATAGGCATGAAGAAAAGATCAAACAATGAAAGCCACAAGATGTTCTTTTTGAGAATTAGAGTACAGATTAGTAGTATAATTCTCTATCAAATATATATATATATAGATATAGATATAGATATAGATACATAGACATTCTTTTCCCTTCTTTCTTTTCTCCTTTCCCCCATCCTAGTCTTTCTTTCTTTTTTGGCAATGTCATAGTGGGTGTGATAGTACACACCCCTGCTTCTGTCACTTGGAAGGCTGAGCTGTATTCCTGGCCCAAGCCACCTTTCTTACTATGTGTGTAGCTATAACTGTTTCTGTTGCTTTTTAACTATAGGGAGTATTTTGACCTTTCTTCATTTCAGAGCAGACAGCACTTGACTTCCTGAACCGATGGACTGCAAACAAACTTGATGCTGTCGTTGTAGGAGTGGAGTAAGAGAATGATTTTCTTTGACTATTGCAATTTTTCCTTCAACGCACAGAGGTTTGATTTACAATTTAAGTCATCTGTACTTTAAATATAATTTTGAAAACTTTATATAAGTTTCTTGTTACTGTTGCACCATAGACTGCTCCTTACAGGAACCCAGTATCTTATTTCCTGGATTATTCTGAATTACAAAATAAGGTATTAGGGGAAACCTAATTGTTCCAGGCACAGTAAATTCAGGTCTTATAAATCCCTAGCTGAACTTCATGTAAGATAGCTGAAGAAAAGGAAATAAATTAACCATTGCATGTTTGAGTATTGGGTTGTATTTGAGCTCGCAAGAAAATGTTTAATTTTAGAACAACTCTAGTTTGTACTGACATAGGTGGTAAAGATTGAGACCAGCTGGAAACTTTACTCTCAGAAAGGAATTTTACCATCTGCATTTTGCTAGTGCATACCACGAAATAGTAGGACAGTTCAGTATTTTGTTACTCATAATGATATAATCTGAATTTCTGACATCAAAAATTGGTTCTGAAACCCATTATTCTCAGGAAAAAAGTCTTCTTCTTATATTTTTTCCTGTATCAAAATAACAAAGACAAAGAAACTCCTAACCCAAAATTCTTATAGGACTCACAGGACTTAGTCTCCTACTTTTCTTTTGTTTTAACTGGGAAGCTAAACATTTAGAGAAAAAATTAAATGAAGACTTGGTCATCTGAAGAAAGCATTGCTATCACAACCATTATGCTTACTTTCATTAGCCAGAAGAACTTGTCATGACTATTTTTAATTGATAATCTTAGGATATTACCCTTTGTATTTGTATAACTTTTGAAGTAATCTTAATCCTATCACTTTAAATCCATTTTGTATAGTGAAATAATTTGTGCATGTTTTACACATGTGATCTAATCCTTAATGGTATTTTCTTGTCCTCATCGCCTACATATCTGTGTGGAAGATCCATTTGTATGAATCAAAAGAGTGATGTGATAATTGGTCTTACAAATGAATTTGCCAAAACTAAGTATACTTTGTAGCATATTAAAATGTTATTGATATATATATATATATATATATATATATATATATATCACATCTTAATTCTTTCTTATCTCCTTTCCCTCTTCTCCCTCACCTGTCTCTGCATCTCTTGGTCTCCTCTTTTATAAAAGATCTATTTCCCATTATCTATTTTTTGTTTTGCTATTTATTTATATTTTGGGTTTCTCATACATGACAAACCATGGACTAGCCTATGTACCTAATTTATTTCATTTAGCGTTATTTTCTCATGCTGAGTTTTCATTTTAATCAAGAATTGGTAGAAAACTCAAACTTGGCTTTTTGGAGGTAGAATATCTGGTGTTAACTGTATCTATTTCATATTTGAGTCACAGATATAAACATAATTGTTTTACTGCTCTGTTTTAAAGTTACAGACTAGCACCTCAGCATCACTTTCCTGCTCAGTTTGAAGATGGCATCACTGCAGTCAAGTTTTTCCTCCAGGAAAAAATTCTTTCAAAATATGGAGTAGATCCCAGTCGAGTCTGCATTGCAGGAGACAGTTCTGGGGGTGCTTTAGCAGCAGCTGTGACTCAACAGGTACATTGCATTTGTCTGTGTTGTCGGAGGTAGAGATTCAGTCTTTCCTCTTAAATCAAATATTCAGTTCTTTTGACTCCATTTCTTGAAAAGACCATTCTTTCTCAATGAATTACAAAGGTACTGAGTCACAATTCTACTGACATTAATATCACTGTTTTCAGATTCTCCTATTCCATTGGTCTACATGTCTACCTTCATGTTAATACTGTTTATTTCAAACTTGTTCTTAAAATTATTTCTAGTGCTTCATATCTTCTCTATTAAAATATAAGGAAATCATGTCCCATTCTTAAAAGGAATCTAATAAGATTGATTAGACTTGCACTGAATCAATAGATAAGGGAGGATCGACATCTTAATTACATTGAAATTTCCATTTAATCTGTATAGTACAACTTTCACCAGATTCTCTTCATTTTCTTGGGGATATTTATTATTCTCAATGTACAAATGAAAATATTTTCTCAAATTTATTCCTGTTATTTTGAAAATATTTCACTTAAACTATTTTCCACATTTATTAACAGTACATGGAAATATGGTAGATTTTATATGTGTTATACTCTTTTTGTATTTTTTTTGTTTAGTTTCTAACCTCCTAGAATTTTCATATACAATTATATTTCAATGATAAAAGAGCATTTCATTCTTCTTTTCCAATCTGCATGTCTTTTTAAACTTTCTTTTATCAGTGCCCTGACTATGGTCTCTAGGACAATATTGAATAAAATTATCTTGTTTTGAAACTTAGAAGGAAATTGTTCAATATTTTGTTAATAAATATGACACTGAGTTTTTAATAGTTAACTTGCATCAGGTTGAAGTAATTTTAGTCTTAGCTTGTTGATAGATTTTGCATAAATGATTGAATTTGTCAAATATAACACATCTATTAATTATATTATGATGATCATATGATTTTCTACATTATACTTTTAGAATAATAAATTATGTCAATTAACTTTTTTTTGAGACTGAGTCTTGCTCTGTAATTAAGATTGGCCTTGAACTCAGTACTTAGCCCAGACTGGCCTTGAATTCATGACAATCCTTCTGCCTCAGCCTCCTGAATGCTGAGATTATAGGTGTGTGCTACCATGCCTGGATATATTAACTTTTAAATATTAAATTATTGTAAAACTATAGGCATGAGACTCAATCATGATTAATTAAATTTTTTACATATTTCTGGCTTTTTGGTACAATTTATTAATTGAATGTTTTTGAGGGCTTGATATTTATTTAAAAAAATCTTTGTCATGGTTAGACTAAATTTTTATCAAACTCATTAAATAGGTTGGAAAGCATTCCAACTTCTCTATTTTTTTTTAGCTTTTTTGAGGTACAATTGACAGAAGAAAATAATTTTGATATTCATACACATTCTGTAATGAATACAAGTTAATGCATCTATCATTTTATTCCATGTATTAAGAAAACTTAAGGTAGATATTTTTAGCAAATTACAGGTATACAATGCAGTAATATTAACTCAAGTCACCATTTTGTACATTAGTTCACTAGGATTTATTTATTTGGCATACTGAAATTTTGTACATTTCAGCAGCAATTCTATATTCGTCTGTCTGTTTCCATGAAGTTGAGCTTTTGAGGTTCTATGTATAAATGAGATCACACAGTATTTGTTCCTTTGTGCCTGGCTTATTTTACTTAGCATAAAGTCTTTCAGGATCATCCATATTGTCACAGTGACAAAATTTCTTTCTTTTAAAAGACTGAATAATAACTAAAAATAGCAACAGCAATAGAAAGAGGATAGTCTAAAGGAGACTTCTTAAGACTGAGGAAGATTGTTTTCCTTTTTAAATTTTGGTTTGTTATGCCTTTTGGTTTATATGCTTTCTGTAAATGAGCTTTTAATGGAAACCATCATCACCACCATCATCATCATTATCATTTATCCTGTTGGGCAGAGATTTGTATTTAGTTAGGGCTATAAATCAAGTGGTGATGTGTGTGTCTATTAGGGTCCTTATTGCTGACTGAATGTTTCTGAGAGGTAGAGGCAAGAGGCAAGGGAAATGAGATGAACTTTTAACATAGCCAGAATTACTTCTATTAAGGTTTTGAATCTTCTAAAGAATGAAAACTAGCTTCCAAAGAGAGAATCTGGAGATTATCCTTTCCATATTTGAATTCAGATATGGGCTAAGTTTTGCATTTTGGCAATAATGTTCTTGATAACATTTTTATGGTCATCTATCTATGAAAAATAAACAGTTAGGCTGAATTTTTTGCATATTTATTTTTGGGTAAGAAAGTGGTCTCAAGGTACAAAGAAATATTCCCTTTATATTTGGAGGAAACTTGCTTCTGTTATAGAGGACACCATCATCTTTTTTCTCTCCCTCAGCATAGACCTTGAATGAGATTCCACGAGGTAGAAACTTTGAGTCATAACAGATGTGAGCTTAGTTATTTCCTGGGTCACAAATTGAGCAGGTTGTTTCATTATAAGTTTCTTGATGTGTTACTTAATGCCTGTAATATGTATGATATAGCAGGGTTCTTGTTGTGATGTTCCCTGACTGTGTGGGATAGATGCAGTGGAAACATCCTTCTAGAGATTTCTCTCCTTGCAAGAGTGGAGGAAGAATTATAACAAAAAGGAAGAGAGATTTATATTGTAATTGTAACTCCATGTTGAGACCCAAGCTTCAGTTGTGTGGAACAGTCAACTTTTGGAATACCCAGAGGACTGCTATTTCCTCAGGTTTCTACCTGGTGTAGACTAGTCAGCTTCTGAGGTGACTAGAGCAGGGCTGCTGTCGCGAGTGGCAGCTTAGTTTTGTAGCAGAATCAGTCAGTTTGGATGATCTGAGTTCTGAAGGATGTTCCATTTTTCTTGGACTGTCAGTTTTAACCGAATGTGGTGAATTCAAGGCACAGTTCCTGCAACTTTAAGATAAACTTTTAAGATAGCCAATGGACAAGATTACATCATAAGACCCATCCCATATGGGTCCCAGGGTGATTGAATGTCATGGTTGTTTTTTTTTTTTTTTTTTTTTTTTTTACCCACGGCCTTAAAGGGGAGTATAGGATCTGTCAGGCTTATGGCATTTTCTCTTGTACCCTGCCATGGACATCTTTCCTGGCTATTCCTAGCTTGCATCTGTCTTCTTAGGGTCAATTTCCCTAGTTCTCAGAGATCACTTTAATTTGACCTATAATAGGGGATGGTCAGCTGAACAAGATCTTATAAGTGGAATATCTAGTTTGTTTGGTGGGGCTATACCCGACTTGGAGGAGGAGCATGGACAGGACCTGGTTCTATATCAAGTGGATTTCTTGGCAACATTTTCTTCAACAGTTGTTTGAGTGTCATATTCATGCACCCTACTGTTTTCTGAGCTCAGTGGCTGGTAGGTCATTTATAGTTTTCATTTTATTTTTAACATCTGTATGAATCCCTGGACTACCTCAGCTATAAAACCAGTTTATTGTCTGATGTCTCTTAATAGTACTTTCTTCACCTCTTGTGACTTTTCTGTTTGAATGGAGAAAGTCTCAGCCCATTTAGAAAAGGTATAGACAAGTGCCAATATGTACTGAAAGCCTCCTACTCAAGGAAGTTCTGTGAAATCCATAAGCAAGGTTTTACAAGAGGTAGTACCCATTTCCTGACTACCCAAGAATTGGGTGGTCTCTTCATTGGGCTGTTTCAAGCACAGGTTAAGCGTTACTCACAAACAGTTCAGGTGATGTACATAGAGATAATTGCCTAGTAACATCTCTAATGTCATTTTTCCCATGTGAGACTCTTGATGGAATTGTTTATAAACCTGGGGATCATCATTTCAGGGATTGCCATTATCCAATCAGAGAATTTCCGTAATTATCTCGATATAACTTCCAGATTCTTGGACAAACCAGACTTTTTTATTTGAAGAGTAATTTGGAGTCTCTGGGAGAGGAAGCTCTGGGATGAGGGGTATGCCAGGGTAGCTTTCTCAGGTTATGGGGCAGTCATTGCAACCCACTTTGCTACCCTGTCTGTATTTTGGTTTTCATTGGCTTTTAATGTCTTGGTCTATTGGTGTTCCCTGCAGTGTGTAACAGCCACTTTTTTTCCAGGCCCATAAAGTATCTAGGATCTGTAAATTTTTTCTTTGTACTTTTAATTTTTCCCCTAACAGTTATATATATATATATATATATATATATATATATATATATATATATTCTTGTATATAGCTTTATGAATATAGAGCACAGGAAAGACATTCTTGGAGTCATGATAGGTGTTAGCCTTTTAGTCTTTTGCTAACAAAAGGGCCCTTGTCCAGGCTGTAAGCTCTGCCTTCTGGGCTGAGGTTCCAGTAGGCAGAGGCTGAGCCTCCACCACAGAATCTAGTGTCCTGTCCAGTTGACCTCTTCTGATATATAACTGTTTCCATCTGTGAAGTATTTAACATCTGGGTTTCTGAGAGGATGCTCTGCAAGACCTCTTCAGCTTAAGAATACTTCATCTGTGGTTTCCCCACAATCAGGAAGGAAGGCTTGCAGTTAAACTGATAGCCTTGTAGTTAGGTTAAGAGTTTACTGTCTCTAGAATTATGTGTGGATTTTCACATAGACGTCCTTAATACTGATTTATCTTTGGATTAGTTAACTAATGGTGCAATCTCTGGTCCATTAGGGTGATAACTGAGTGTTGTACTTGATTAGTGAGTCATTGGCCCAAAGTCAGCTTGTCAGCCTCCAGTGTCAGCAGATCTATGGCATCAAGTATCTTAAAGCACACAGATCATCCTAGGGACATAGAGTCTAATTGTTTGACAAGTATGCAACCAGGTAAACCAAGATCCCATGACCTGATACAGAGCTCCTATGGCCATTCCCTTCTGCTTGTAGACATATGGAAAGAAAGAGAACATATAGAAAGATGGTATAGGGAAAGAAAGAAAGAAAGAAAGAAAGAAAGAAAGAAAGAAAGAAAGAAAGAAAGAAAGAAAGAAAGAATTATTTCTGGA